GTAGGGGGCGGGGGCACCGTGAGCGGGTCGAGAGGCTGCGTGGGCCCCGGGAAGGAGAGAGGAACAGGCGTGCGCCGACCCTGGCAGACTGCCCGGAGGGGGCGACCTCAGCGTCCTGCAGGTCCGGCGCGTGCATCGGGTCTCTGCCTTCTGGGTTGCGTGCACACAGCGGGCGCAGGGCAAGGAATCCACAGTGACTGTTCCTGGAGGCTCTGTCCCTTCCTGCCGCCCTTGAATCCGCCCGCAGAATGGGAGGAGGAGTGCAGGAGGAGCCGCTCCGGAGGGTCAAGTGAGGTCACCCCTAGTGTGCGTGATGAGGGCTCTGTCTCGGAGTGGAGGACAGCCTTGAGCAGTTTCACTCAGCGTGCCTCCAAGATGCCAAGTGCTCCTGGGGACACTAAACCTCACTGGGGGTGGGGAGCAGGGAAGAGTGGCCAGTGAGAACAGAGAAGCCTGGTCCAAAGAGCAGAGGCAACTGCCTCTTGTGGGATGGCCTGCTTCTTATGGTGTCAGAGGAGGGCGGTGCTCACAGGAAGCCTGGTAGGTTCAGCAGTCAGGGCACCTGCTCTCTAATGGGCCCACCCTGCTGGGAGTGGATTTAGGGTGGAGTCTCCCGCCCTCCAGCAAAGCTCCCTGGACTTGAGGGAATTCATGAATCCTGGGCCCTAGGTGTGAGTGGGGTGGGACCTTGATGGAAACCACAGCGCTGCTGGCCATCTGTGACTGGACTGCTATGGTGGTGGCCAGGAGGTCACCCAGGCCTTGCCTAGAGGTCTCAAGGCTGGGAGAGCAGCTCCCTGGGGAACGATCTCTGATTCGCCCTGCTCACCTGCAGCCCTGAGGCGGAGCGCGCCCGAACAAGGCAGACCCGGCCCGCGGCCCCCATGGAGGGTGCGATGCAGCTCCTGAGCCGAGAAGGCCACAGCGTGGCCCACAACTCCAAGCGACACTACCACGATGCCTTTGTGGCCATGAGCCGCATGCGGCAGCGTGGCCTCCTGTGCGACATCGTCCTGCACGTGGCCGCCAAGGAGATCCGAGCACACAAGGTGGTGCTGGCCTCCTGCAGCCCTTACTTCCACGCCATGTTCACAAGCAAGTACCCCCCGCCTCCATGCAGTCTGGGCCACACTTGGGAAGGGGGTTTTTCTCTTTGGGTCTTTCGGAGTGCGCACGAACCTGACCCCCTGCCCCTATAGATGAAATGAGCGAGAGCCGCCAGACGCACGTGACGCTACATGACATCGATCCTCAGGCCTTGGACCAGCTGGTGCAGTTTGCGTACACGGCTGAGATTGTAGTGGGCGAGGGCAATGTGCAGGTGAGGCTGCCTCATCCCCACGCCCAGCCCCCACACTGGTCCTCATGCCCTGTGTGTGCCCATGCCCTGGTGTCTCTGCATCCCTGGTGCCTCTCCCCAACTACCTCCTATCCCATCTTTGCTTCCTTGGCGCCCTCCTGTCTTGGCCCCATCTCCATGCCCCATAGACTCTGCTCCCGGCCGCCAGCCTCCTGCAGCTGAACGGTGTCCGAGACGCCTGCTGCAAGTTTCTGCTGAGTCAGCTGGACCCCTCCAACTGCCTGGGCATCCGGGGCTTTGCCGACACACACTCCTGCAGCGACCTGCTCAAGGCGGCACACAGGTACGTGCTGCAGCACTTCGTGGACGTGGCCAAGACCGAGGAGTTCATGCTGTTGCCGCTGAAGCAGGTAACGTGCCAACTGGGGCCCAGCCCAGACCCTGACCCAGACCCCAGTACCCAGACCCCTGGTCTTTAAGTCCTAGCCCTTTGCTCACCGCCCCCATCCTCATTCTCAGCCTCTGACCCACATTCCAACCCCATCCAAGCTTTCTTCCATGGTGCTAACCCCATGCTGTTCCTACCATATCCCTGTCCTTAATCCCCAGTCCCTGTTTCTATGTCCCAAAGACTGCTCTGAACCTAGGCCCTCCCCACAACTGCAGGAACCAAATCTGTAGCTCCTGACCCTGCTTGGCCCCTCTCTGTAGGAATACTGAGGCCCCCAGCTGGACTCCCTCCCAGGCACCTTCAGGGCTCCCTGGGCCCAAGGACCCTCCCCAGATCTCAGGTCTGAGGATCCCCACCCCCAGGTGCTGGAACTGGTCTCTAGTGACAGCCTGAACGTGCCTTCAGAGGAGGACGTCTACCGTGCAGTCCTTAGCTGGGTCAAACACGATGTGGATGCTCGGAGGCAGCATGTCCCTCGGGTAAGGCTGGGTCTCGTGGCCCCATGTGGGAGATGCCGGTGGCTGAGGGCCTGAGTTCAGGGACTCTGGGTGGGGAGAGGGGGTAGGTGGTAAGATACTTGTCTCAAGGGGAAGCCTTTGTACAGATGGTACAGGCATCTGAGAGGGGTTGGGTCTCAGCTCTAGAGCCATTTGTGCCCCAGGGTCCCACCTGACCTCGATACCCACTACACCCAGCTAATGAAGTGTGTACGGCTGCCACTGCTGAGCCGTGACTTCCTGCTGGGCCATGTGGACACCGAGAGCCTGGTAAGGCACCACCCTGACTGCAAGGACCTGCTCATCGAGGCTCTCAAGTTTCACCTGCTGCCCGAACAGAGGGGCGTCCTGGGCACCAGCCGCACGCGGCCTCGGCGCTGTGAGGGTGCTGGCCCTGTACTTTTTGCCGTGGGTACGTCTACCCTGCTCCCACATATCATGTCCTTGCCCTGTGTCTCCCTCCATCCAGGACCTGGTGGCACATGACCACTAGTGTGACACAATCACCAATCCCCAGCTCCACCTGCCCTCAGAGCCCCCCATGCCCTTTCCCTTAAGCTGTGCTGGAGTGCCCAGACCATTGTCTCCCCAGGTCCCCCTTCCTGCCCCATCACCTCCCCCTCCCCAGGTGGTGGGAGTCTGTTTGCCATCCATGGAGACTGTGAAGCGTACGACACTCGCACCGATCGCTGGCATGTGGTGGCCTCCATGTCCACACGCCGGGCCCGGGTGGGAGTGGCTGCAGTTGGGAACCGGCTGTACGCAGTGGGCGGGTAAGCAGAAGCTGATCTTGGATCAGGGGTTTGTCTTGGGCCCCCTAAGCCAGCTTCAACTAATAGAGATCTCTCCTCTAGCTATGATGGGACCTCAGACCTGGCTACCGTGGAGTCGTATGATCCAGTAACCAACACATGGCAACCCGAGGTGTCCATGGGCACACGGCGGAGCTGCCTGGGAGTGGCTGCTCTGCATGGGCTCCTTTACGCAGCTGGGGGATATGATGGCGCCTCCTGTCTCAACAGGTAGTGGTGGGAGTCGGCCCCAGTGGCCTTGCAGGGTTGGCTCAGCAGCAGGAGGTGAGGCTGTATCATGACCATAGAGGTCACATCTGATTGGGGGGCTCATCTAGCTCAGGTCACTAGGGCCCCAGGGCCTCTTAGGCCATGGCAGACCCAGGACTGGCTCTTGGCTGTGTGGGCACTGCCACCCCTTCTTTTCCTCTCTGGAGTTCTGCCCACTGGTCCCAGCTCTGGGCCCAGGTGGACACTCACCTGGGATCATCCAGGCAGCCAGCAAGCTCTACTCATCTACTCCAATAGACTCCATCTACTCCTCTGGGTCAGAATGTCCAGGACACCCAGCACAGGATTAGTCATTTTGGGGGCAGGGCGAGTCCTGGGGCCAGGACGGCCTTGCTGCTGAGGCTGAGGGTCAGCAGCCATCTGGTACCCACAGTGCTGAACGCTATGACCCCCTGACGGGAACGTGGACATCCATCGCTGCCATGAGTACCCGGAGGCGATACGTGCGTGTGGCCACACTTGGTGCGTGATAGGGCCTGCCTTGTGCCGTGTCCACCCTCCTGACTGTCCCCCTGCCCTCTGACCCCTGAGAACCTGACAGCCAGCCGGAGCACCCCAATATGTTGACTTCCTGCAGATGGGAACCTGTACGCCGTGGGCGGTTATGATAGCTCTTCACACCTGGCCACCGTGGAGAAGTACGAGCCCCAGGTGCATAACGCACCCCACCCACAACGACCCCCTTCCCAAGTGCTGCCTGGGATCATCTCACGTTCCTGGAAGGAACATTCTGGAATAACCCACTCTCGTCCCAATGGAGTTGGGTCTGCACCATGGGAGTGGAAGGATACCCATGGTGGGTCTGCCTCCAGCCTGTCCCCTCTGTCACAGGTGAATGCATGGACTCCAGTGGCCTCCATGTTGAGCCGGCGCAGCTCAGCGGGCGTTGCAGTGCTGGAAGGGGCCCTGTATGTGGCAGGGGGCAACGATGGCACAAGCTGCCTCAACTCAGTGGAGAGATACAGCCCCAAGGCTGGTGCCTGGGAAAGCGTGGCACCCATGAACATCCGCAGGGCGGCAGGCCAGGGGTGTACACTTGGGGGGTAGCTCTCACCACCACAGTTGGTCTGCCTCCCAAGAGGCCAATGATCGATCTGTGTCCCGCCTGCACCCCCCCCAGCCCTGCCCCATCCCGCTACAATTCCTCTCCGCTCTGCCTCTTGACCCGCCCCCATTGCTCTTCTAGGGGCCTCCTCGTGCCCTTCCCCAAGGTTTCCCCACTCCTTGCTTCTAAGTGGTTTCCTCTTTGGCTCGCTGCTGGCTGGACCTTTCAGCCCCGCCCACCCCACCCCTAGGAGCACGCATGACCTGGTGTCCATGGACGGCTGGCTGTACGCTGTAGGAGGTAACGACGGCAGCTCCAGCCTCAACTCCATTGAGAAGTACAACCCGAGGACCAACAAATGGGTGGCCGCATCCTGCATGTTCACGCGGCGCAGTAGCGTGGGTGTGGCGGTGCTGGAGCTGCTCAACTTCCCACCACCGTCCTCGCCCACGTTGTCGGTTTCCTCCACCAGCCTCTGACCCGCAGCGCGGGTCCACCAGATGCCCCGTGCCTTAAGCCCCACCAGGGCAGCCCCAGCGCCTCCCTCTCATCAGTCCTCATGTGTCAGGGGTGGGGTCCATGGTTCCCACCAGGGATAACCTGCATCGTCTGTCCATGTCTCTGTGTTCATTCCTCAGCGTTCGTTTGTGTGTGTGCCGTTTGTTATTTATTTACTTATTTATTTATTTATTAATTCGTTATTTATTGATGGATGAACACCGCTGCATCTACCAGTTTATACGTTTACTCTTGGAGCATATGTTCTCCTGCGCATCTGGGGACCAAGCTGTCCTCCCACCCCACTCCCTGCTTTGGGTGTAAGGGAAGTGATATGGGTGGAGACACACTGCACGGGAGTCAGAGCGGCCCAGTCGGACTCTGCAGAGCTGCTGGCCAGGGTAGGCAGAGAAGTGGGGGAGGGGCTTTGTGAGCAGCTGCAGCCCTCTAGCCCGTGCTTTGCACATTGCCTTCGTTTTGTGCAGCCAGTCACTGTCCCTAGAAAGGGCACAAAGCAGGCTCCCTGTGTCCTGTGTCTGCAGTGTGGTGTCTTCTCTGGATCTTGTGCAGAGCTGGGCACAAACTCATGCACACAGACCCTCTACAGCAATATGAACCAACTTGAACAATAAACATCTTTTTTGGGCTCCGTGGGCCTGAGGTTGCATGTCCATCTCTGGTCCTTTTTGTCTCCTGTGCCTGTGGGGCTGCAGCACAGCCTTGGGTCCTGCGGAGCACTAGGGTAAGGGCCTATGGGTGGGTGTGCCGCCTGGCTGAGAAGCTGCATTGGCATTTGTGGCCTGCAAGGCAATATCTTTGTGTCCAGCACAGACACTGTGCTGTGGTATCTGGATCAGCACCCAACTGTGAGCATGGTTTGCTGCCAGCCTGATTCCCAAGGCCCCTGTTGTACTCTAGGCCCTGGAATGGGGCGCGTATTGGAGAGTGTTGCCTCCATGTCACCATTACTGTCCTGGGTGCTTGGAAGACTTGTGACTTCCAGCCTGGGTGTCATGAAACCTAGGGTTAGGGTTGACCCCTGCAGGAGAGGAGGCTGAGGAGGTTCTGGCTCCCCCTTCCCCAATGCGGCAAAGTCTGTCCAGCAACTGAACACTCAGTGAGCACGCAGTCCCATACAGTCACTGGTGACTCACAGGCGAGGATTAAGGTGGAAACAGGATGTGTGCTCATGCTTGGGGGAAGGGAGGGCAACTGGAAGGGGGTCCCAGCTTCATGCAGCTCCAGCACCCAGGTACTCCCTGACTGAACACCAGCCAGGAGGATGTTCACAGACCAGACCGGGGTCACCCCTCCGGTATAGGCCAACTCGTGAAGTGGGGAGCTCTTATCCTTTCCTGAGGGTATACCTATTTCCCTCCAGCGAGGGCTTTCTGGAGAAAGAGGCCCTCTGCCCCAAGACTGGCCAGTCCATGTGGAGGACGCAGGGCAGAGAACTGGAAGGCTCGGGCTCAGGTAGGAGCCAGGCCCCACCCATAAAGGCTCCACCTTCGGCTGGCCCCTGGGCTTAGGGCCGGAGGTGCCAGGGCCCCGCCCACCGCGGGAGGCGGGTACTGGAGGCTCCTGACAGAGGGACCCAGACCTGTCGACCTGCTTGGCCCCGGCCAGCCGCTGCCGCCGCCCCCCCTG